AGCCTAGGACTTGCTGATCAGAAGGTTGGCGCTTCCAACCCCCACGATGGGGTGATCTCCCGCTGCTCGGTCCCTGCTCCTGCCAACCTAGCAGTTCGAAAGCACGTCAAAGTGCAAGTAGACAAATAGGTACCACTCCAGCGGGAAGGTAAATGGCGTTTCCGTGTGCTGCTCTGGTTCGCCAGAAGCGGCTTAGTCATGCTGGCCACAAGACCCGGAAGCTGTATACCGGCTCCCTCGGCCAATAAATCGAGATGAGCGCCGCAACCCCACAGTTGTCCGTGACTGGACCTAATGGCCAGGGGTCCCTTTACCTTTATTAGTTTACAAGGCCCTGAACAACCTGAGTCCAGGATACCTCAAGGACTGCCTGATCCCCTATAACCCTGCCCAATCGCTGAGGGCTTTGGGGGAGCTGTTGTTCGTGCTCCCCATGGCTTGGAGGCGTGACTCATGAGAGCCCACGAGGAGCCTGCTGAATCTGCCCAAAGGCCGCAGCATCCTGGTGGCCCCAATGAAAAGCCCACAAGCAGGACCTGACAAGAGCACCTTCCCCTCCTGCCCCCCCCCCAAGAAGCATTACCGCAAAATGCCTACTGTAGCCACCAGGCGCCCTGCATTCAATATTAGGGGCCCAATTTTGTGGGATTCCCTTCCAGTTGAGGTCCCTCCCTCCTTGTTTAATTTCTAGCACCTACTGAATTTTTTTTCATTCCTGAAGACATTTTAACTGAAGTCTTATTTTATCATTCTGACTGATATTTCTCTTTTCTGCATTGTATTTTTCGTATATTGCTCAGAAACTATTGTAGCTAAGCAGTATATACACTGTATGAGTAAAATTAATCTGGGACACACTTTCACTTATTATATATCTTGTGCCTAAAATATTTTATTATTATTTAAAGTATTCCTTAGCTCCCTTGATCAGAAAGGACTCCAGAGCAGTGTTCAGTACTGAGATTAAGCGAATGCTGCATACTTAATTCATCTCAAATAACCACCATCCCATGGACCTATATGCACAGTCACATAGTCACTCGCAGAGATGGGGAGCTTGAAAGAGTAAGGGAAACCCACCTTCTGCTCTGATTTAGGCGCTGATTTACACCCTGCACTTGCCTTGCTACTGTTTTGGGCTTCTACAGATTCATTTCTGAATCTCCAAAGTTCTTGCCAAAATATTACAACTCCTACTTTTCCAGACCATTGACTTTGCTGGCTGGATTGCTGAGGGAAGTTGCGAGTCCAGACCTGGGATAGCTCAGTTGGTAAAGCATGAGACTCTTCATCTCCGGGTCGTGGGGTTGGGGAAAAGATTCCTTCATTGGTGTAGGTGACCCTCAGGGTGCCTTCCAACTCTATAATTCTGTACGCTTGGCTGCAATCCTGTCCAGGACAATTTAGAAGATTGTTAAAAGAGCTGCCTGTATTTCTGAAAGGATCCAACTCCAAGCATGGCAGACTTCGGGCAGGCCCCTACCAACCCCAAGCCTGTGCTTCAGTCTTTATCTCAAGCCCCTCTTTACAGCATTTCATCAAACCAATTGCAAACTCCGTAACCGTGCTTAGACTATTGCTCCCTATTTTGCAGCCAGAGCCCACTTCATCAACCCAATATGGTGTGCCCTTTTGTGCATAGCTGGAACTCTGGAAACAAAGTTGCAGGTACACACCCACCCACCCACCCTGTGCTCCACATGGCAGATCTAACCGAACCATTACAGCATTATTAATTGGAAGAAACAAACCAAACATTTTGCCTAGAAGCAGCAAAAAGCTATAAAGCGGGCAGCTAGGAATCCGTTAATTTGCCCAGCGTGTGAAGAGGGAACAGCTGTCCCTGGAACTGACTGTCCCTGCATGACCTCTGCCTACGCAGGACAAGGAATTCCAAACAGTGACTGAATTCTGCGCAGTTTGCTACACACACCAAGGAGTAATCTCATTATGTCTGATGTCTGCAGAGTCTCTTGTTGTGTGTTTTCTTTCTTTCTTTCTTTCTTTCTTTCTTTCTTTCTTTCTTTCTTTCTTTCTTTTCTTTCCTTCCTTCCAGCATTCCATTTTGCTGCATGTCATCTGGTATTAGAAATTTGGTGTACCAGGTATATTTCAAGCCTAGACCCACTCCATTCAATACTAGCTTTTGAATTAGCTTTCAGGCCCTCAGGATTTTGACTGCCTTGACCCAGGTACCCATAATTTGGGGAGGTACATTCCCACTCAGAAAACACTTAGTGTGGTCCAGCTGAATGAATGCTGCACTTGCTGGCATCGAAATAGGCAGAAACGGTCATTTTCCTAGAGAGTGCTCAGAAAGTTTCTAAAGCAGGGTTCAGCAAACTGCTTATTCAGCCGTGAGCTGGTCCACCGTCCCTCAGACCATGTGGTGGGCTGGACTATTTTTTTTTGGGGGGGGGGAATGAATGAATTCCTATGCCTCACAAATAACCCAGAGATGCATTTTCAATAAAAGCACACATTCTACTCATGTAAAAACACACTGATTCCCGGACCGTCCACGGGCCGGATTGAGAAGGTGATGCGGCCCACAGGCCTTAGGTTGTCTACCCCTGTTCTAAAGCCTTGAAACCTTTTCGCTTAAGAGCACCTGAAAACACCTGGCTTTAGTTCTAAATCTGGGCACAACTTCCAGAGTAAAACTGCTTAAAATAAAATTTAGCAGCAAATTTGGTTCTGTAGAATTTGGACTCAATCAAGACTGGGTGGGCATTGTTCGCCTGAAAGAAAGTAACAGCCTTTGTCCCTCTTTAGGTATTAAATCAGCACTGCAAGACGGTATTCTCACTATTCTCATGCTTTAGGGGTGAGCTTTTCTTATCTTGTGCACATTTCCTTAACACAGGAATGGGTGACTTCTGCTACTACTCTGTGCATTTTATTGCTTTCAGTCTTCACAATTTGCAAACTTTGGGGTTTAAAATGTACATATATGTCTTGTGGACCCTTTGTGTGTCGGATGAAGTGGGCCTTTCTCCATGAAAGTCAGTGCCACCCAAAATATGAAAATGGTTTCCAAGGTGCCACAGGATTCATTTTGTTTAAAATGTAATAAGAACCTATGAAGAGACAGGCTGCTGGATCAGGCCCATGGGAGCACCCTGCTCTCCCAGTGGCCAGCTAGATGCCCCAAGGGGAAGACCACAAGCAGGAACTAAGGCCAACAGCACCTCTTCCCAATTGTGATTCCCAGCCACTGATATTGAGGGGAATATAGTGGGTCTACTGGCCGGCTAAACCAGGTGAGGGCACCTGATAGGTCTCAAACCCTGGGTGAGTTAGGGACTCGGGCAGATGGAATGGATGAGACCAAGAGTTGTCAAGAAGGCAACGTGCATGTGCTGTAGAGGGAAGTGAGGGGCAGATGGGGCTCATCCACCTGGGAAGTATCCCATCTAGGAGAAGGAAAACTCTGATCCTAAACCTCTATTGCCCTGCAGGATATCTTCAGGAGAATAAATAGCTAAGACGTGAACCCTACACAAACCCAGAGTGGAGTCCCCAAGAGGGTTGGATGGCGCCTTGCACACCTCCTTCCGGCAACTCCTGCAGCCAAGCTGGTGCCCAACGTCTTGCTCTGCTTTCCTTTGGACCACATCAATGAAGCCGAGAGGGAGGGGTCTTGTCGTTTGGGCAGCCCAGGACCTCCAGACACCTTGCACCCTGGGGATGGCACTTTGGTGCTGATAAGGCAGAGGTCTGGCTTCACCCCTAGAGTGCACTCCATTGTCTCTCGAGACAGATGGATGCGAACAATACTGGCTCCAACAGAATGCAGACAGAATGATAGGCAGAATACACATCGCTGAACTAAATGGGCCAGTAGCCTGGCTCAATTTAAGGCAGTTTCATGCGCACCAGCTGCCTGCTTTTGGTCCCAGATATATGGGCCAAAACTGCCCATGAATATGTATTATCTAGTAACCCTTGATAGCCTCATCTTCCATGAATTTATCTAATCCTCTTTTAAAGCCATTCAAGTTGGGGGCCATCACTACATCCCCTGGGAGCAAAGCTGACTCTGCGCTGTGAGAAGGAGGACTTTCCTCTGCCTGTCCTGAATCTTCCAACATCCGGCTTCATTCCGAGCACCTGTGAGGAATCTAGGCAAGGTCGATGCATTTCATTTTCTTTCAACATTTGAAATGAGAGTTTGTGTGCAAAAAGCTCGAGAATCTAAAAAACAAACACTAATGGTACCACAACTCAGGACCACCTACATGAGACCTGAAATTATTCTCTCTCTCTTTCTGCCCCTTTCCACAGACACTACCTGTTGGTGCTGCATTCCAGCAGAGCATCCTTTGGGGCAAACATGTGGGAATTCCTGTGCAGCTGAGCATATCTCATGCAACCCAGGCCTTTAGGGACATCGCAAGACCATGACACACATGTTTCTCTCTTTGTCATCTGGCTGTAAGGAATCCATTGTCTTTTTAAGAGTGGGGGCACACTTTCCAGTGTGGATTAGCAGCAGCCCATGAACTTGAGAGAGAAATAGGAACAGGCACAATAAATAATAATAATAATAATAATAATAATAGGCTGGCTGGAGAGGTCTTTTTGAGCAGCCCCCAAACCCAGCTACCGGGTCCCTTTGTTGTGTGTGTTTTATGCTCGTATATTCACGGAGGGAGGAGAGGGCGATGGATGGCTACTTGCCGGGATGCCTCTGCTCTGCCGCCACAGTCAGAGGCAGCGATGCCAATGCGAGTTGCTGGAAACCCCAGGAGAGAGATGGCCCTCGTACCTGGCTCCTGCTTTTGGCTTCCCCACTGAGGCATCTGGGTGGCCAATATGGGAACAAGGATGCAGGACGAGATGGCCCATGGGCCTGATCCAACAAGCCTGTCTGCGCACAAGGCGTGCGTTTCTGCTGTGGGGATGAGGCCGAGGGTGATGCCCCCACCCCGCCAGTTTCCCACACCTTCTCCTTTTGCATGCACACGGTGCTTGGTGGTGCATCGTTGCAGACTCACCTGAGGGATATGGCTAGTTCCATCCCGGAGCTTGAGCTGCGTTGCTATGGCACCTGGCCGGCTGCCTCACGCCCTGCTTCCCCGCCCGGCCAGCTGAACTCTCTCCGGCAGGCGAGGAGGCGTTTTCCAGGCGGATCGTACCATCTCCAGCCAGGCCGAGGGAGGAGCGCGCCGGCAACAGAGCGAGCCGCCGGCTTTGCAGTCCGGATCCCCGCTGCTGCAGCGCCAGGAGGAGGCCGGCGCGCTGGCCTCGCCTCGCCCTCCCTCCCGCCTTGACATCTCTGCCGCTGCCCCGCCCGGCCGTGCAGGACTCCTCCTGTTCGCGGGGCGGGCTTTGATTTGCTGCTAGATCTCATGATTTTTCCAGGCGCCTGGCGCTTCTTTTTTCCTGCCTGCCTGCTTCCCCCTTTCCTCCCTCCCTCTCTCCCTCCTTTTTTAAAATGGCGGTATGCATGAGACACCCATGCTAGGCGAGAGCCCGAAGCCAAGGAAGCCGCCCCAAACTTCTCGCCGCCGCCGCGCGCCGCGTATTTTGCGCTCCGGCCCGCCGCCGATGCCTCTATGGGCCGCTGCCGCGGAGAGCTGACCCCCTTCCTCGCAGCAGCAGCGGAGGAGAAGCAGCAGCAGCATAAGGTAAGCGGCGAAGCAAAAACCTCTCCCCGCCCCCGGTCTTCTTGTGGCCGCGAGACTGGCTCGCCTTTTTATTTTCGAAACATTGTTTTCTCCCCCGAAATGTCCGTTGCGAAGGAGCCCCTGGCGCCTGGGGCTTGCCCTTTCGCTCGGCTTCCAGGCGGTCATTTGATCTCGTCCTCTCTGAATCGAATCCAGAGCCTTCCACGTCGCCCTGAGGTTCTCTGGAGTCCACAGCAGGCAATGTGATATATATGTTGCACATAATAATAATAATAACCTCTCCAAACTGTGCGCGTCTCCTTTAACTAAAGTAGCAGTTGTTAAGAGCTGGAAATTTTATTTCTGCTTGCTTGTTTGTTTGTTTGTTTGTTTGTGTGTCTGAGGGGTTTTGTTTTTAAGCATCAGAACAAGAAAGTTTCACAAATAACATTTCTGAAAAATTACTTACTGTTATTATTTATTTCGTTTGGAATTTGCTCACCACTGTAAAGTTCCACGTTTGGTAGGTTGGGAAAGGGCATTTGCAAACTAGCATTAATAGTTATATTATGTATCTTTTTTATAACAAACAAACGGTTGGTTGGATTGACGTTCACATTGTTCTGAACTCTTTACAAGACTAAATTGCGGGTAGCTGTGGTCTTTGAAAAACAATTGGCAACATTCTTGATGGGGGGTAATAACTGCAGTTTGTAATTGTCAATGTTTGGGGCGTAAGTGAAACTCACAAGGCGCTTTCCACGATTTCCTCACTGCTAAAAAGGAAAAAAAGTTCCGCTCCCCCTCCCCCAAGAGCCCCAAACTCCTTTGCTGCATAGATTAGCAACCTTAAACCCTGCTTTTTGGACGAAGAACTTTTTGGCACAGTAAGATGCAGAAAGAAACAACCCCCATACGTTGTAAATGCTCTTTTTATTCTCTGTGTTTTATCGGGTCTGCGGCCGTATTAAAAAGGACTAGCTGACTGATCGAAAAGAATCCCCAGATCCATGTTTTGTTTGATTTTCTCGGAAGTTATCGTGGCGCAGCAAACAAAATAAGAGCCTAAATATATGGAGGCCCGGGACTGATGACGAAGTCGAACCAGCATCTTTTTCTGGGGAGGGTTTTATATCGATAAATAAGCTGGAGCGCGTTGCGCGATTTTTGGTAGCGTCGTCCCCTAACCCTCAACCTCTCGAGTTCTGGGTGGTGGATAATTTTTTTCTTTTTTAAGCACCTTTAGCGGGGGGGGGGGGGAGGGATAAGCAGGCGAAAGCAGCAGTCAGCCACCAACCAACATCCCAAACACATGCGCAATTGCCGGCTCTTGCCACCGCCGCACTGTAGTCTGCCTGGAAACAAAGGGGCTGGAGCGCGCTGGAAGTTGGCGTTGTGGCTCCTTCGCCTCTCTCCCCGCCCTCCGCGTTCCCACGTGCGAGGAGTTCACGGGATCGGCCAGGCGGCCGCTTCGCAGCGCTGCCCCCCGCCCCGCACCCCGTGGCAAGAGAAGAGGCGGCGCGCCGTGGTGGGATTATGCGTGCGTGCGCCCTGCGCCGCAGTCCTCGGAGGGACCTGTCGCCTCCTTCCCTCCTACGATGACAGCTCCCGCCAGGCCGTCGGGGTGGGGGGTGGGGGAGACCTTGGGCACCTACTCCTGGCTGCTGACTCACGACTGGACGGGAGGAGGTGGGGCGGCGCGGCGCCTGTCACTGGCACCAGAGCGGGGTGGGAGGAAGAAGCAAAGGGACGGATCTGGCCTGGGGGAGGGCCAAAGGAGCAGTCTCACTCCCCCACCTTCATGAAGCATAATTCCCAGGTTCATGGCCGTGGGACGTAATAAAGAGATTGATGGATTGATTTCCTAGGTTCCTCACTTTCTCATATATATTTCATAGTATTTGTAGATCCTTAGATATAGGAGGCTGAAATATACAGGCAACATTCCTCTGATTTTGTTAAATGAGGAACTAGTTTGTTCTCCTTTCAGGGTTTCAGTTTCAGGAGGGCTGCCCCCCTCCCTTCTGTTTGACTTCATTTTAGGTCATAATCTCTTGCAAGCCAGCTGGGTTTGGATCACAGACAGAACTGTCCTGAGGGTTAAAGCAGTCAGTAAACCCTGCTTAATTTCTATAAGGAAATAAGAGGAGTTAGTCTGCCTGGGAAGGGTGCCTTTGGTGCTGGGGATCCATCCGTTGATTGACAGATTGAAAGTCCTGAGTGGTGACAGAAATGCTCTCTGCACTTGCTCAGAGGCATTCTGGTATAGGTCGATGCCTTCTGTTACAGGGCTAAGCCCTTGAATGGAAAGCAGCCTGTTTGTTTGTTTGTTTGTTTGTTTGTTTGTTTGATTCATTCATTCATTCATTCATTCATTCATTCATGTGTGCCTCACCCAACAGAACTCTGGATTTCAAAGGCAGCATCATTAAATTGTGCCCTCAAGCTGCATGAGGTCACTACTTTTCTAAAGCTAAGCAGGTCTGGGTCTTGATGGATGACCGTAGGGAACCACACGCAAACATCCTTGGGTTCCATGATAGACAAAAGGTGGGATATTAACGTAAAGGGGGGTGGATTAAAATAAATACAGCCTACTTGGTCATTAGGATATCCACACACCTATAGGAGCAGATATTTGGGGACGAGGGAAGATCAGTAAGCAGTGGGACCAGAAGGCAAGTGAAATGGAAAAGGTAGCAGTTACTCTATCACACAGCTGGGAACAGCCCTACAGCTGCCCCAGAGGAAAAGGGAGTGTTTTACTTCCAAGTAGTGGTCACCAATAGAGAATTAGCAGAATGAATTCTTCTGCACAGTTTGAAGCTGAACTCCCTTTCAGGATTTTAGGAGTGAGAGTTTAACGTAGTTTTAGGAGTTGAGAACATAAAATGTGCCTTTGTAGAAGAGACTCCCCACTTTATTCCATCTCTTAATTTGTTTTGTGCAGTTAGAGCTGTGTAGTCTGAAATCTCTGTATGAGCTTTTCTAAACCGTTCCTAACAGAGCAAGCAGACTGTCCTTAGGTAAGAAGTATGGGCAAGACTGCGCTGCCCAACAATTCCTAGCACATGGAAGGAACAGAACGTAAACTGATAAGATATGAGAACAAAATGCTAGGATAACACTATAAAGCATAACAATATCACTAAACCCAAGTCAAGAAGAAAACAGAAATAGATGAGCCTTCTTGTGTTTTGGCTCATTCCCCCCCCCCTTTTTCCCCCTCTTTCTGTTTTTCTTTCCTCCTTTTTTTTTCATTCTTCCTTCTCCTTCTTCTTTCCTTTTTTTCTTTTTCTTTCCCATAATGGCTTATGTTCTATGTCATGTACTTTGATTTTATTGTAGTTTTTTTTTAGCTTTGTCTATTATTTTTATTATTATTAAGGATTTTTCTTTTGTAATTTTGGTTGTTTATATTTATCTGTATTTGTTTAAAGCAAAATTAAAAAATTAAAAAAATATCAACAGAGATAACTGAAAGCAGACAATGGCAGACCACTAATACCCAGAGCAATTAGTCAGAAGACAACTAAGAAAGACACAGCAATGGGAAGAATGGGATGGGCTGGTCAGAAGAGCCAACGGATCTCTGGGTGCTTTAAGAACGATGACAGAGTGTTGTAACTGCGAGGGGAATGATTGCTGTAATTGCTGAAACTGATGGAGGTATTTTGTACTCGTGTATGAGAGGTGATGTTGAGAGCAGTGCTAAGATTGCAGTCTGCCTCTGATTTTTCAGAAGACTGGCTCCCATGTACGTCTGTAGAGGCCTAACCATTTTTATTCTACTCAAAGCCTGTGCCCATTTGGTGTTCCTTTGGGGAACCCCAACTACAATGAACCCTTGATAAATTTCCCCAGCACCTGCTGGATCAGGCCCACCCCTCCAGCATCCTGTTCTCACAGAAGCCAACAAGATCCCCATTGTGGGAAATCAGTAAGCAGGATTAGAGCGGAAAAGGGCAAAAGTAGAGCTCTTCCCGTGGTTTCCTGCAAGGGGTGTTCAGAAGCATTGCTGCCTCCAGTTGAGGAGACAGAGCTTAACCATCCTGGCTGGTGGCCATAGATGGTCCTCTCCTTGGCATGTCTGGTCCATCCAGGTCGGCTCCTGTAGGAGTGAGTTTAGTATTCTTTGCTACAGTCGGAATGCCTGCTTCCTTCCTTGCAGAATGATGAAATATTTTGAAATAATGGGCAGAATGTGTGGTGCGTGTCTCTTCTTTTCTAAGGGTAGCGGGAAAGCATTTTTGCGTTTTACTCTGTTTTGGGATGCAGTATTCCCCTCTCCCAACATCTCTGAATTTCACACACACACACACATTATATATATATATATATATATATATACATATATATATATATATATATATATAAAATTAGGTTTTTTAACATACAATTTTCAATAGTAATTAAACATACTTTTACATCTTATTCAAATTTTTGACTTCCATCAATCCTGTCTGAGAATATAAGCTAAGAAATTCAGACAGGATTAAACATCTCTGAATTTCTTAGCTTATATTTTCCCACTGATCTGAGTCACAAGGCCACTTTAGAAATCAGCGTAGTAAATCTCAAACACGCACATGCGCGCGCACACACACACTTCAAACATTTAAAAATAATAAGACACATGTTCAACTGAAACAAAACGGCCATAATGGCAGGAAGGAAGATGTGCAGGAACGCTCCAATAAAATCATCTGCAATGCTAAAGTAACAGTGAAAACCTGTTTAAAAAGAAAAACCTCCCCCCCCCACTCCTGCCACCAAAAAAACTTGCCTTGAGCTAGCCAGGCTCTCCTTGGAAGTCCCCCTTCCCCAGTGTTTATTAACTATTGCTTGTTAAATATATTTAAAATATATTGAAATTTATTAAATTTAGTACATGGACACCAGGCAAAGCAGAGTCAAGCACAAGCCACCTGGTCAGTTATCTTCACTGGGGTATGTTTATTCTAGTTTGTATGTATGGCTACAAATCTAGAAATGGTTACTATAATTTCAGCAGAAAAACA